CTGTTGTGTCGCGTTGTGTCAGGCCAAGTGTTGACNTAAAACTGCCGCTTAAGCGGGGGAAAAGCGGGAAGAAGGGAGAATGAACCGCAGGTCCGCGAGTCCCCGAGAGGAACCAGCTGTTGGTGTGCTCCATCACCTTATCGAACAGGGTGTAGGCGTCGTGCTCAATGAAGCGAGACGAGTTGACCATCGAAACGATTTCCCCAGCGCTTGAGCTGAAGATCGCGGGGGGAAGGGGGTAGAAACGCCAACCAAAAAAGCACAACAAACGGAAGGTGAGACAACGCCGCCAGAGGTGAACTCGATGCCACACAGTGGCCACGGTGCGAACCTTGCGGTTGTTTCAGCGTTGCTCAGCTGTTTCTCGTCCTCGGCGTTGACCGCTTCTCTGTGCAATACGTACAAAATTGGCGCCAGCAGTTCGTGCATGCCCTACAAAACACAACCCCAACACAACGCGCGCGTTAGCCTCCGACACCGAGAGAGGTAAGTGTGGGAAAGACTTGAACCTGCTTGTAGAGGATGTGCTCGTGCTCGCGGGCGTAGATGAAGAGGATCCGCAGCATCATTTCCTGCAGGTCCTTGTCCTTGAAGAAGCCGTTCTCGGGATACACCCTGCGAATGTCCAGCACGATCTGCTTCTTCAGCTCCGCGTCCTGGAAGTACTGCTGCCACGGGCTCTGTACGGGCGCGAGAAGAGAGAACACGGCGGACATTATTGAAGGCGCAAGCAAGGCCGGCGGGAAGGGACAGATATCTACCTCTTCGGCCTGGGAAAGCGGGTTGTTGATGGCGGGGTCCAGCTCCCGTCCCTCGGCGTGCGGATCGACCATGTATCGTTTGTGCAGCACGTCGTAGGCCGCTCGCTGCTCCTCGAGTTGTTCCTTCCACTCCGCGGGCTTGCTCCCGAGCAGACCCAGAAAGACCTGCACCACCCCACCCCATTATCGTTAGCAAGGCTCATTGGCGGGGTCACAGGCGAGTGGTGATGGGGGTGTGGAGCTACCTTCCAGCACAGGCCACGAATCTTGGTGTGTACCAGCTCGCGGTCCAATGCCTTCTGCGTGAGGTGAGGCACGTCCAGTTCGCGTTCCACCGATACCTGGCTCTTGCTTTCGTCGCTTTTCTCCTGCTTCTCGTTCTCCTCCTTGATTTCGGTGTCCACCGCTGGTTCCTGCTTCTTCTCCTTCTCCTCGGTGTTGCTGCTGGCATCGTTCTCGGTGTTCGCGTGTCCTTCGCCCTGCTGCGCGTCGGCCTCGCTTCGGCTCGCATCGCCTCCTGCACTCACGCTTTGGGTGCCATTGGCAGCAAGCTCTCCTTCGGCCGGCTTGTACACGAACGCCTCAAACTCTTCGCGCCTGTCGCGTGTCCACAGCGCACACGACACACGGGGCCGCAAGCAAGTCAGCACACGAACAATCTACAAATCTACATATTTAAATAAATAAATAAAAACAATAACACACGTGTAAACATACATTTCGAGGGGAGTGGGCTTGGGGGGCTCCTCGTAGGGCGTTTCCACTTCCTCCTCTTCCTCCTGGGGTCGACTATTGTAGCCACGGCGGTTGTTGGGTTTCTTGGTCGATTGCTCGATGAGGCTGAGAAAGTCCTCCTCGCCCCCGCCGGTGAGGAAGAGCGAGGCCCTGGTCTGGGCCGGGCTGGCGGCCTCCTTCTTGAGCGTCTTGTCTTCGATCAGCTTCGACACATCAAAAATCGATTCGAACTCCAGGATGCGCTTCGGCTTCTTGGGTTCTTCGGGCACGCTGCCCAAGAGGAAGCTGAGTGGGTCATCGCCAGCTTCGACTTGTGTCTTCCTCACCTGCCGCTCCCTCTCCTTCTCCAGCTCCTCATCGAGTGTCGTATCGAGGCTGAAATCGAATGAACCGTCCGGTTTTTGCATCAGAGCGTTGTCCTATGCTGGAAGGGGAGTGTGTTGGTGGTGGTGCCACGAGCAGCGAACGCACGAAGCCTCAGGTCTTTCGTGTGTCGGGCCAATCCCAACAACAATTCGGATCTCTCTTCTTGAAAGAAACAAAAGAGAATTAATTTTTCACACATTTCTTTTTACACCTTTGCCTTCTTCTCCTTGAGCTTCTTCTTTTTCTCGAGCTTCTCCTTCTCCTTGAGCTCCTTCTTCTCCAACTTCTCACGCTTCTTCTGCTCCTTCTTCTCGAGCTTCTCCTTCTTCTTGAGCTCCTTGAGTTCCTGCTTGTCCACCTTCTTGGCCTTTCCCTCGTCCTGCGTCGCTGGTGTTGGGCCAGCACCAGCCGAGCGGCCAAGCTCGCTCTCCCTTTCCTCTGCCTTCTGCACTTGGACTTCGTCGGCGGCGAACGTGCCCGAGGGTCCACTCTCCAGCGGCACCTTAAGGCTGACCCGGTTCGTTGTTGAGATGCCTGCCGCCGACCATCATCAGCACCAGCATCAAAGCACCGAATCGGGGTGAAAGGGTCAAGGTACCGTCTCGTGTGGCGGTGGAGCCGGAGTTGGAGAGCGGATTGGTGACGCTCTTCCTGTTCTCGATCTTGCTGCCGCCGTCACCTCCCGCGCTGAGAGGGGAGGTGGGCATCGGGGCAGCCAAGCTGAGGCGCTTGGCCTTCAGCGTCTGGGCGGCCTTAGGGTCGCCCGCAAACGGCAGCGCCACCGCTCCGCCAATGCCCGAACCTGCACGCACCGTATGCCACCATCAGCTCCTCATGGACATCCCCATGGCCGAGAGCGTGTAGGGGATATCTAGAGGCATCTATCCGGTACCTTCTTTGTTTACGGCCGACTGTGAGCTGGATAGAGGGCTGGTGACGCTCTTCCGGTTCTCCTTGGCGATGGCGGAACCGGGGCTGCCCAGCGGGTCGCTGAGGCTCTTGCGGTCCTCTTTGTTGGCTGAGGCGGCGGCGCTCAGCGGGGCTCCCGCGACCATTCCGGGAGCAGCCAGGCTGAGGCGCTTGGCCTTGAGGGTCTGCACAGCCTTCGGATCGCCAGCCAGGCTGGGGAGTGCCACGGCCGCGCCAAGAATCATCGAGCCTGTAATCCCAGCATAAGTGTTGAAGTGACTGCGTTGTGTGTCGTGTGTCGTGTGTCGCGTACCGGGGCGAGAGCGAACGGTAGGCGAGCCATCCGCAGTTGCAGCAGAGAAGTCAATGCACGAGCCGCCTGCATGCAGCATTTAGAAAAACGGAATCAGAAGCTGGCGGTTATCGACACCACGAATGTAACCAGGCCATTGGGCTTTAGGGTGTTACCTCTTCTAGCGTTGGCCTGCTCTTCCTCGAGAAGCCGACGCGCTTCCATCTCTTCCCGGCGGCGTGCGTCAGCCTCGGCTCGCTTCTTGCGCTCCTCCTCGAACCGTTTCTG